CACTGAGCCAAACCAGCTAGGGCTGCTTTTGTAGATTTTAAAGCAGCTTTTAAGCTAGTTTACATTCAATATTACTTTGTATTAGTTTCAGATGTAGAGCATGGTGGGTATACAATTATATACTTTACTAAGTGTTCCTCCTGATATTTCCAGTACCCATGTGACACTATATATAATTATTATAATATTATTGACTATATTCCTTATGTAGTTATAAGTAATTTTTAAAACTACTTCCTTAACAGTTCAAGAAAGTCATTATTCAAACTCAGGTAGTAAAATATGAGATGAAAGATATTGAAAATAATTTCAGAGGAGCTCATTTTGACAGAAATAAATTACAAGAAAAAACAGCAACTAAGTTAAGCCTCAGGCACTGTTTTGTGACTTAAAGTAAGATTGAGGTCTGAAGTATATTATGAGGTTCCTCGGAAGACAGAATAGGAACCCCAATAGCTTCAAAAAAGGAAAAGGAAAAGAATGCAGAAGAGAATGAAATCAGTGAGAGCTGCTCAATACTTTCGTGGGACTCACAGGACATGTAACATTAACGTTTATTGAACCATAGGAGTCCAACAAGATTAGCATCGTATTAATCAAAGGAGGTTAGGATTTTAACAGCATGGAAAAAATTGGACAACTAATGCAAGTTGAAATAGCCTTTTAAACCAAAATACTTATTTAGTCTTATAAATACCCCCAATTCCTTAATTCTTCCATTTACACTACATTAGAGGATCTTCATATGTTAGACATTTTAAATCAACCATTAGTGAAGTATTTTCCATGGGATTTTAAAATCATATATTGTTAGTATCTTTTATTATTATAGGTATCCTTGAACTCATTCAGTTTATATAATCAAACCTAGTTAGGCATTCACATGATATAAGAGAAATTGTAGGTACCTCTATAAAACCCATCATATTCTGTATTCTTACATTGTTGAACTGCTCTTTGTATAACTTAAAATAAGTCAATATTGTTTGCAGTCATATTAATCATGCAGGTTATTATTTAAGCATATCATATACAAAAATCTCTCCCATAATCAGTGCAGACCCTGTCAAAACATCAAATTAGTTAGGTTATTCCTTTCTGGTAATCTTTGGGAAATAGCCAAGGAGGCCTAACATCTCTTACAAAGCCCTTTTCAGCTGTCTAAATAAATCTATCTCTTAATCTGAAGGAAAAGGCAAGTTTGAAAATCTGATATCTTCATAATTTTTCATGTAGTTAAGTGTTTCCACTTAGTAACTTTGGTATCCCATAATCCTTGGAAATTTTTACCACTCATCTACAAAATTTAAGTTTAGAAGTATCTAATCCAGTGTTAGCCTGTATCTTTGGATTATAAGTAGATCTATTTGCTCCTTTACTGAGAATATAATAATAGTCATACAACAGAGTGCAATCCATGAAAACTATTCCTATATGCGGATCAAGCCTTTTGTTGGAGAGATAATTTAGAAGACTAGGTAGACTAAAAGCAGCGGAATGCAAGTATCTTAATAAATCACGGCTTAAGAGATATAAAGTAACTTGACAATTTCCTATTAAAAATTCACAATGAGGGAAAATGCAAGTGAGCTGCAGGGCTCGCTGCTGGTAAGGGAGTGGAGAGGCTGTTTGCAGAGTGAGCTGAAGACAAATATCAAAGGATCTCAGCTAAAGGACAGTGTTGCAGTTACTGAACTTTCAACAAATATACCTTTTGAAAGTCATACATAATCTTATTCGAAAAGATTTTCCTTGTGTGAAATATGAACTTTTGCCCAGTCAGCCTCTTGAATTATCAGAAAAAAATTTCCAGCTCAACCAAGACAAAATGACTTTTTCCACACTGAAAAGCATCTAGGTTCTGTTTGCTCTACTAAAATTACAAATGGAATTCAAGGCAATGCAACAGGTTCTGAGTCTTCCATTTCTTCCAAGTTCAAACCTTTCACGGGGTATTTTGAGGGGTAATGATGAGACTATTGGATTTGAAGGAATTCACAAAGCGAACTAATGGGAGAACCACACTTGACAGTGGAATATAAACTTGGTTACTGCAATGCAGTATGCTGATCATGGAAATGGAGGAGTTACATCTGCTTATAGTCATTTTTTTTTTTTTACTATAATCTTATGTATGACATATGAAAAAAATAAAAATTCACATTGAGGAAATACTTATAATAAACATCCTATTTTAGCCCTGCAGTTTTTGTTTCAAGTGTTGTCATTTAATTTTGAAGAGTATTAGTTGATCTCTTTCTTTGAGTCTGTAGGCCGACGCTCTAGCCACTGAGCCAAAGTTGATCTCTTTCTTTAAATTGATTTAATAAAGTTTTATTTTTCAAAATATGCAGCTGGTGGGACCTGTTGTTTGTGCATCTTCACCAGCAGCTGGGGCATCCCCACCTTTGGTGTTTCTGGTGTAAATTGCTTGAACTCGGTGCTTTGAAACTAGTTTTAAAAGTCCTTTACTAAGGAGCTCATGAAGGGTTGGCCTGGAATCTTTAGTTTCTCAGAGACAATAGCTGGGGTTATAAGCTTATAGCTGGGATCTTCCCTAGAGAGTTTGTCGTAAGTTGCTTTGTCAAACAAAACTAGTTTATTGAGCTGGTCCTGAGCTTTGACTTTGGACCATGTCTTCTTTTTGGCTTTGCCCCCAGATTTGTTCACTGGGTCTTTGTCTTTCTTGACTGACTGTCCAGCATTTTTTTTCTTCTTCTTTTTAAAAATCTTTATTGTTGAAAGTGTTACATAGGTTCTGTTTACTCCCCACCCCGCCATTAAACTCTGCATTTTTCTTCTTTTTGTCATCCTTGGGTGGCAGAGTGAAACTGGAAGAGCAGCTGCTGCCATTGCTGCCTTGATATACTGTCCAGTTGACCTCTTCTTATTTGCCAGACAATCCTCAATGATATTACAGGTTAAAAAAAAAAAAAAGATGTGCCCATAGTCCTGACCTCAAGGAACTGATCATCTAGCCAGTGGGACAGATATTTTTAATATTACTTTCCTTTTCATTCAGAAAACAGACTGAAAAGATGCATTTTTAAAAATTTTTTAAATATTTTTTTATTGATTTCAGAGAGGAAGGGAGAGGGAGAGGGATAGAAACATCAATGTGAGAGAGAATCATTGATCAGCTGCCTCCTGCACGCCCCCTACTGGGGATCGAGCCTGCAACCTGGGCATGTGCCCTGACCTGGATTTGAATTGTGATCTCCTGGTTCATAGGTCAATGCTCAACCACTAAGCCATGCCGGCTGGGCTAAATGACTATTCAAGATAGTCATTTTGAATGTAAACAGTGTGACTATCTAGAGATAGTGTGACTATCTCTGAGTAGTAAGACTGCATTTGACTTTATTTTCCTTTTGTGTGTTTGTGTGTATGTGTCTGATTCATATTTTTCTAATGTTCTATTACAACATAATGTTGTTAATTATTTTATGGCTCATCTAGATCCTCTGCTTCAGGGCCTCTCATGTGGCTGCAATGGCAGGGCTACACTCATCTTGAGGTTCCACTAGGGAGCATCTACTTCCAAATTCACTCTGCGGTGGTTGGCAGGATTCAGGTCCTTGTGGACTGTTGGCTGGAAGCCTCCCTCAGTCCCTTGCCTTATGTGGACCTCTTCATAGGGCAGCTCCCAACCTGGTAGCTGGCCTCCATCAGAGTGAGCAAGTGAGAGAAGCCCATCTTTTGCAATCTAACATCAGAAGTAACATCCCATCACATCTGCTGTATTCTACTCATTAAAAACTAGTCCCTTCCACACCCAAAGGATGGACTACCAGGAGATGAGATCGTTGGCAGCCATCTTAGAGACAACATGCAAAATTACATGCAAAATACATTCACACCCTCCCAGAGTTCCAAAAGTCTCACTGCACTGCAACATCAGCTGGAAGTCTAAAATCTCATCACTGAAATCAGATCAGGGGGAAGCTCCTCAGTGTAACTCCACATACAGCTCCTGGAGCACAGTTCCTCTCCATCTGAAGACCCATGACAGTAATGAGACAAGCAAGCTGTCAAACACTCCTAACAAATAATGACGATCAGGCATGAATAACCACAATAAGACATTCCTGTCTACAAAGAGGGGAATGGAGATTCAAAGGAGTCACTACATCCAGCCCATACCCAAGGGTAGGGGATTATGCCAGGGCTCAAAAACCAGGAGGTGGGATCACTGGGGGCCATCTTAGAGGCTGCCTGCCACACTGCCCTTCTATTTGACTCTAATAATAAAAGAAGTAAAATTTTAGATAAATATTTTATGAAGCTTGAGGTATAGCTGATTTTTAAATATATACTGCATTGCTGTGAGTTTGTACTGCAATTTTTTTCTTTGACTCAGGGTAAAAATTCTTTTGGATTGCAAGATTATTGGAGGAAATTGTTTAAAAATTATATCTTCCTTTGTCATGACTATAGACCTGATCATTAATTTTCAGGTTGTTCAATTTTCCAAACATTTTCTAAATGTTTTCCAAAAGGTTAATTTAGCATCTCTTACAGCTCCACACTTATTCCTCCAGTTGGATTCTGTATTTTTTCTTCAATTTAGCAATACACCTTGCATTTGCATAAAAATCAAATTACATTCCTTGGTGAAACATCAGTGTCTCTAAATTGAGTACAAAAGCTGTTCTAGTTTCTTTTTTTACATTACTGACTGAACTAGAGAAATAACTTTTCCACTATGCTGCTTAGTTACTATATAAATCTATTTTTTCCTAATCACACATTTTCTCAAAATAACAAAAATGAAGAAGTGTGATAAAAATGAGCAGTTGCTGGTAGACCAGGTTCTACATCAATTACCTAAACACTGAATAAATATAGTCTCAGATAAAGAACACTGAAATTTTGCTAAATGTACAGTTTGAGTACTTCTGATTGAACAATATGTACTGGATGCCTTGTGATATTTTGGAATCTAATTTTAATAACTGAAAATACCTATAAGTATATACAAACTAAGGCATAGATTAGGATAGATTAGGAATTTTTTTATTTCTGTATATTCTTAGGATGATGTCAAAATAACAACAGTAAAAATTTAGAGCAACATACAGTGGTATCTGTGGAATCCTTAAGATAACTGCAATACCTTTAATAATGCTTCACATTTTTATTATTTTATGGTATTTCTATTTAAGAATCATACCCTTTTTCCTTATATAAAGAAATCTATAATTTTGTGGATCATCTATCCAAAAATGCAGAGAGAACAAATATAATCAGTACTTCTTAATTAACAACTGACTAGTTGTTTTTGTAATATAAACATGCTATTCCCTTATATCAGTTTTTATCTTCAATGACATATGAAAGATCCAAAATCAAATTGGCTGTCTCCACAGCCACTTGTAGGCCACTGAGCTTAGCAGTGAAACAGTCCAAGGTCAGGTTGTTGGCTGAGCCCACAGCTTCATGCGGAAGGCATGGTCGTGGTGCGAAAGGATGCCGAGCAGTCCTTAAGAAAGACCAGCTGAGTTCTTCCCGGCTATTGTGTAGTCCGCAGCCACATCTTGTAAGCAAATCTGGCCAGTTAACATCAGAGGGAGAATCTGCCTGAACTGACCAAAAGTGTCCATACTTCATGTCAGTGAGAATTTCACCTCCATCATGTTCTAAAGAGCCAGTGAGAGATTCTAGCGCAGTGCAAAATGCTTCAGTAATTAGTTGAAGTTCTGTTGAAGTACATCCACTACCTTTGAGAATGCTTTCTGGGTCACTGAAAGTCTAAAGAGTAATTAAACAATTAAAAACACAGACAGAGTAATTAATGCTATAAAAATGTTTCTGAAAAACAGAATGCTTGCTTAAAACCTTATTCATAAAGTTACTACTTACTTTCAATTTACTTAGGGGTTGGCACAATGCTAATGGGTATATATAAGTCTGCTGACCAAGCAATAATGCCTTTACTTGATTGTTTATAATAAAAATGTATGCTACCAGTCATGTTATCAGAATGAATGAATCAGAATAAACCCCAAAATCAATGTATTCTGAATGGCTACCCAGTAGTGCCTACTTAATATATGAAAAACAAGGCATAATGCTTGTATTATAGGTCTTTATTCACAGGAAGAAGTTGCTGAAGACTATGTCTAAATAAAGTACTTATTTATATTTGGAAAAATGTTTGAAATTTGAAATGTTTCAAATGAGAACATACATATTACTAAGACAAAGATCATTTAGGAATGTATGCAACTTTTACACCAATGTTTAAAAATATTCTTTCTCTTTAAATTAATTAAAATTAATGACTTTAAATTGTTTTTTGATTCCACCATCCTATATAGTTTATCCTAGAAATTCCATGATAGAACAAAAAGTAATATACTAGCAAACTAATAACTGAATGATTATTAGTTTATATCTTAACTACTTAAAATCAGAGACGACATTTTTTTTATCCAGCAGGTTTGAACCAGATGAGATCATCTCTAAGAATATTATATTCCCATTTTGTCTTTTTTCAAAACCTTAAAAAATATGTTCTCTATTAATTTTAGAGAGGGAGGAAGGGAGAGGGAGAGAAACATTGATATGAGAGAGACACGTATCTGTTTGTATCCACTTTCAAATAAAGGTCAGTATTTATGAAAAAATTAGAACTATTATGCACTAAGTTTATCTATTGTTAGGAAATGGTTTCCTAGATTAATAAAAAAATTCTTCTTGATAGAAGTAATACATATCATAAATGGATACCAATTTTAAAAATATAATAGAATTTAATATTTGGAATGCTTTAAAAATAAAATTAATTCTTTTCTTGATAATCCAGAAAGTATTAAAGTATTTTTTGTAGAATCTTAACACTTTCCTTGTGAATATCAATTACTATTGTACCACAGTACTGAGATCCCTGATATGATAACTCCCATTAACAGAACGCTTATTTCAACATGCAATGTTTAGACAATACTCAAAGAATGTGATCATTTGGTAATGGGTTATATTAATAATAATCATTATGATAAAGATATTTTCTTACATTTGTAAGTGTTATTTTCCTCAAGTGTTTTCCAATACAATATCTGATTTGGGTTGCAGAGAAATTAAGCAGTAAAGGCTCCAGGGTATTCTGATTTGGCTTATCATCTCATAAAATGAAAACTGCTGAGAACAGATAATCTGAGAAGGACTATTGAACCTACCTTGTGTCTGATATAGGCTGCCAAGTGAGTTTCGGTACAGCCACCTCCCAACAAGACACACGGTTCCTTGATTGTTAACTGCAAAACATGCAGTGCTGTTTGACATGTGAGCTACAAGACAAAGAAATAACCAGAATCAGACAGTGACATCAGATACACAAAGAAATATAGCCATGCTCTCAAGAGCCTGATTTTAATTGCAAAAGAATAAAACCTGTGCTTCCAAGGTCATAATGTGATGAATACATTTTAGGTTTAATAAAGATTAGAGACTAAAGAAAAATACCTTAGCCAAATGTTTGTTTTCATGGCCAGATTAATATCATCTTTTAAATATACTTAGCTCTGCAAATTGAGATTCACAAATGAATGGCCACAAAGTAACTGGGTCAGCAAGATTTATTAGCACTTTTACTAAAAAAAAAAATATTTTAGTCTAAATCAGTGATGGTGAACCTATGACACACGTGTCAGAGGTGACACGTGAACTCATATTTTGGGTTGATTTTCCTTTGTTAAATGGCATTTAAATATATAAAATAAATATCAAAAATATAAGTCTTTGTTTTACTATGGTTGCAAATATCAAAAAATTTCTATATGTGACTTGGCACCAGAGTTAAGTTAGGATTTTTCAAAATGCTGACATGCCGAGCTCAAAAGGTTCACCATCACTGGTCTAAATAAATAGCTGATATAGTACTAGTAAAACTATTTCAAGTTGCTATGGAAATGATAATATAGCTGCAACCCAGCAGTAATAAAAAGAAAAACACAGAGACCTTTAATATTTATCAAGGGTATATAACCTTGAGCATACATCTTCAAGCTTGTGACCAATACCATAGGTTATCACTTTCCTTATATAAAAGTTGCATGTGGCTCTAGCTGATTTGGCTCAGTGAATAGAGTGTTGGCCTGTGGACTGAAGGGTCTCAGGTTCAATTCTGGTCAGGTGCACATGCCTGGGTTGTGGGCTCTATCCCCAGCTTGGGGCATGCAGGAGGAAGCCAATCAATAATTCTCGCTCATCATTGATGTTCCTCTCTCTCCCTCTCTCTTCCTCTCTAAAATCAATAAAACTATAGTTTAAAAAAAAGTTGCATGTGTTATTGCTGGTAGAGAACAAACTCTATTAAGAGGTGGATGATGGGTATTACTGGAGAACTCAGTATCTAAGTGAATTATTCATACACATTTAGCATTAAAGAGTACATAACTCAAGTTAATTTCTTATGAAAAGTTCATATGTTAAGGACCTTTAGATTATTTGCAAATACTAGAAATAATAAATGGTAACATATACCAGGTTGATTGTAGTGTCTACTTGTGACTTTAATTCTCTCATTTTTTGTTGTTTTTGCTTTCTATACCACCTAGGGAAGTTATGGGGGTGGGAGGTGGGGAACGTTGCTCACCAATGTGAAATTATACCTTTCTGAATAACTATTTAATTCCTGCCTCAGCCCCTAGATATGGAAGTCAAAGTTCATTACCTACCTTTAACTCATCCCAGGCAGTGCCATTTCTGTTGCAGAGAAGCAAGCTGCAGACAGTTGCTTCATTAGGAATAAGATGAAGAAACCATTTGAAGCCAAATTTTGCAGTGCACAAATCTTTCACACTTCCATAACTACTAGGAGAGATTGAGCCAAGGGAACCAATAGGCTGTGTTCCTATTGAAAACACAAAATATATGAGAGTATAATAATGGAGTATATTAGTACAATCATTTAAAATTATAACATTTTTTCCTAGCCAATGTAAGCACCATAAAGCATGTCATTTAAAATATGACATAAAGAATAAAGAACAAGATGCATCTTCTTAAACTCATGAAATAAGCAATATTTGGTTATTAAAATGATATACAAATGTAGCAAAGCAGAGGTTCTTTTAGTTCACTGACTTCTTTGAACGTATTTTAGAAGCTTTTGTTGTACTTTCTAGAGAAAGGGACGTGAAATGTTCCGTACATTTTCTGGGAATCCAGGATCTCTGAAAGTCCATTCACGGATTAGAGATTCAAAATTAAGAACTGCACTGCTCTGGAATAGGGTGAAGTGAATGCAAGGCTATTATTTTTAAAAGACATAATTATTTTCACCTTAAATCACATAAATTAACCCATCCAATAGCTGTTTGGGGCTCTATTTAGTGAACATACAGGATTTTTTTTTCAACTTTTTATATGTAAACTAGAGGCCCGATGCACAAAAATTTGTGCAAAAGTAGGCCTTTCTTCCCCTGGCTGCCGGCACCAGCTTCCCTCTGGCACCCGGGACCCGGGCTGGCTTCCCTCCGGCCCCAACTTCATCAGGAAGGATGTCTGGAATGACATCCAGAAGATATCCAGTATAATTAGCATATTACCCTTTTATTATTATAGATAGCTACCTAAATGATGCCAAAATAAAATATGTAACATTCTAATTTCATTTTGTTATTCTTGGATATATTATTTTGCCTGCATAAGTAAAATTTTACAAAGCAAAAAATAATAAAAATAGAATGAGAAGTTAGGATGACTGAGTTTCCAAAATCTCTAAAATGTATTGGAAGTTATGTAAGAAAAGAAATGACATCAAACTTCTATATAAAATAACAATTTAAGTTTAAAATCTTAACATTACTAAAATTGAGCAATGTACTCCTTTGGGTCAGTTTCCTTTTTCAAACCAACAGGGTTAAAACAATAATGTCTATAATACTTCCAGCTCAAAAAATTTATAAGAACCCAGAAAAAAAAAACAGTAATTTCACTTCTTGAGTGTCCTTTCTTCATCACTTCTGAAGCCTCAAAGAATAGGGATATTTGAATGATCTAAAAAAAACTTAAGGGAAAAATAAAAACCCTTAATCTTGTAAAATTTCTCATGGTGGACACAACAGAGAATCTATAGTGAAAGGATTTGACTTTATTGCTTACCAGCCACTGGACGCGGAGAAAGTCATTCATGTCACTTAACTTTTCAGGGTGGGCTTGCCCATATGAGTAAAAATGGGAATATCTACTTACAAATAAACCCAATGTTAAAAAATGCTCTGTGATCCATAACAAGCTTCACACACACATCACCCATGCACAGTAACTCCACTATCTGCTCATGCGTAATATCGCCACTATTTAACCCAGATCATCAATAAATAAGGATTTTATGTAAATAGCTACATAAAATCCCTTTTATGTAGGGGGAGAAAGGAGGTAATGTTAACCTAGATATATCCTGGAAGATGAATTAGGCCCAAAAGATATTTCACCTTTCTGTCTCAAACGGTCTCTTATCCCAAGATCTAATACTAAAGCTCTGGCTATTAATACTATGTTCTAATTGCATATGGAATAAGTAACAATTGTGGGCTGATGTGGAAACTCATTGCCTACTTATGATATTGTTTTTGTGGGAAAATGCTTCATACTAAATAATCTGTAATACTTAATATTCATTACTGGAAATTACCCATTCATGAAAATCTAGCAAATATTTAAGTATATGAGTTTGACTCATATCAACAATGAGTTCCAGAGAACTATTTCCATTATTTAAAAATTTTCTCTTTGACAATCATTTGACAGTCTTACAAAGGTAGGGCAGTAAGCCAGAGATGTTATGTATTCAATAGTTGACATACATAGTTCTCCTTTTTGATGACATTAAGAGAAAAACCAGTGAATTTGAACAATGGTTTATTTAATAACTTCAAAAATACAGTCAATCCGAATAAAATGACCATCTCTCTGACAGATTGCTAATGCAGCTGAAGAAATATTAAAAAGTGGCTCAAATCAGGAACTTCCAGCTTGTCATTTTTCTTTGGCTCTAATAAGTAAATGTCAACTTTACATCTGCTTTGAATTTACTGTTTGTGAAATACAGGGAATTTTTCCATTATAATTCTGCAAGTTACTATATTATAGTCAATTCTACAAACATTTTAGAACACCTACTGTGTACCAGACCTGCTGTAAGCTCTAAAAGTAAATGATGATCCTGGCTTTCAAGGAGCTCAGCTGGAAATATTTAAAGCTAGACCACACACACACACACACACTGACATATACACTGTGACACATACACACTTAATTAGGAACCACTATTTGGGCAGTATAGTTGTTTGCTTGAGTTACATAAGAGTGAAGAAAAAGGAATATTTTAGCTGCAAAATTACCTTCTGAATTATAACGTGACTTAAGAGCTTTGTAAAACTCAAACAGAAGAATTTTGTGTAAACTGTGAATCAAAAGACCTTATGATTATGAGGATGTTAGTCTTCCCAATAATCTGTAAAATATTTTACAGTCTGTAAAATATTTGATAGTCTAAAACTGAAGTTTTAGACTATAACAGACTCTGCAGTACATTTTAGAGCTGGGCAATACATAGAAAATAACCATAATCACTCAATCTTTAATAAGTGAAAAATACAGGGTCTTTTTCAGAAATGTTTGCTGCCAGAAATGATACTAATATATGCTGTGAGGTTGGCAGCTTCTACAGTTTTTCAAGATGTTAACGTGACACACATCAGAAATATCTCTGCCCCCCAAAAGTGTAATTTATTTACTGTAAGGTACAAAAGCTGAGTGTTTTTACCTGTCACTTTACTCAGGGGTTCCATCAGAGCCGCTCCAACTCTGTCTATGGCAAGAACACGATGTACACCGAGAAACTGTTTCAGAGATGGGTGTATAACTTTTTGGCACAAGACAAGATCTACGTGATCACTAACTAGCTGCCTTCCTAGGTTAAGTAACTGGTCCAGAACTGCATTTTCAAGAGAAACCCCGTAACTGACCACCACACTTCCTTCTCCAGTATCGGAAAGGTCTCCAGATAAAGACACACGAAAGAGTGCCACCTTGAGGGAATCTGACTTTTTGACAGGCAGTATCTTCATCAATCGAATTTCTGACAGTTCAATAAGTATTCCAGGTAACACAGTAGAGTCTACAACTCTTTGACCTTTTAAAGGTACAATTATACTACTTCCTAAACTGATGTGGTCTCCGGCGTTTTCTGGAATTGTAAGCAAAAAGGCTCTCAGAATCAGAGTACTGATGTGGTCTACCTCCTTTCTGGTGAGCATACAGGCAGGTTTACTTGTTAATACACTGCGTACCAAACAGAGGAGGATCTGGGTACTACTAAAGTCGACTGGGATTCGACAACCACAGACCTCAGACTGGAGGTAACTGGTGCAGAGGTTCAAAAGATGCTTATTTAATTTAATGAGCGTGGTGGGTGTCAAGTCTAGTCTCTGAACATTTTCAATCAGGTTGCAGCAAAGAATGGCTGTGAATAGGCCACAATCACTGAAGCATGACACATGGTTCTGGACGGAAGTTGTCAGGATCTTTAAAATGGGGTGAGTGACGGAAAGGTTAGCGAGCAGGGCTGACGACTGTGAGGTGGTGCACACGGAGCCTCCAAGGCCGTTGTGCAGCTGCTTCAGCCTACCTGAAGGGCCATAGCACGATGCTACGATTCCTTTCAAGACCAAAAGCGTGGCCCTGACTCTCTCACTTGTCAGTGGTTCACTTTTACACAGTGATGGCTTTTTAGCTTCTAAACGAGACATCTCACTTCAGGCGGTAATTTGTGAAGACAGCTTTTATTTTGTTAACCATAGCTTTCTATTTATTTTAACATTTTAGAAAAGTATTCTTCAAGAATGATATGCATTGTGGTTATAGAATTAAAAGCTTCATGTTTATGAAGCTAATCAGCATGAAATGATTTAATGACATAGTAATTTCAAATTTTATTTTACTTCATTCTTTGATACTCTTTTGTTTGTCTCCGGACTGAGATTTTACAGACTGTTTTGCAGCCCACTGTATAACATATGTCCCAAGATGGACACCTATGAAAGAAACGCCAGCTACAAGAAGCCAGTTCTTCCTAATCCAACTGGTAGTTTTCATTTCTTCTTTCAATATCAAGCTCAGATTCAAAGCTGCTTCTTTCTATAGGAAATAAAAGTAAAGCATTTTAAAGAAATGATTCCAAAACACTTTATAGACTATAGTTTAATCATTATTTTAAACTCTGTTCCTTCTTTAAAGAAAGAAACTACTAACTGGCACAAGCCTCTAGAGCAGCGGTTCTCAACCTGTGGGTCGCAAACCCTTTGGCGGTCGAACGACCCTTTCACAGGGGTCGCCTAAGACCATCCTGCACATCGGATATTTACATTACGATTCATAACAGTAGCAACATTACAGTTATGAAGTAGGAACGAAAATAATTTTATGGTTGGGTCACAACATGAGGAACTATATTTAAAGGGCCAGAAGGTTGAGAACCACTGCTCTAGAACATGAGAGATATAAATCAACTTAGACTAAACATCCACTCCTTTATTCTTCAATGAAACCCTCTGAGAAAAAAAAGTGCTGACATTTCAATGATTTTGGAAGGCTCAACACACCTAGAAAGCTTACAGTAATTTGAATATAAAGTGCTTCTAAAAGAGAAAAGCTACATTATAAAACTCATAGAACTTGATCTCTAAGTCTTAAAAAAGCCCTAAATGTACTTATTCTGTTATATCAAGATCTTATGTGGTATGTTTTTTTTCTGTAACTTTGGTTTGCTTGCAAACCTTAGCTCTCAATAGAAGTACATTTATTTATATCAAACCTTGCTTGTATATAATTATGAAGACAAGGTAACTGTTAGTATTCCTACTGCAGAGACTCCAGTGTACAGTCTATGTTTAGCTGTATTAAGTCTGCACAACATATTGAATCATCAAAGAACAAACCATGTTTTAAATATGACTAGAGTCAGAGCTAATTTTCTGTAGTTTTACCCTATCAATCAGTGATTTTCAGTTTTAATGTCCTACAACTAATCCTCCTCAAAACTTTGGTTAATTACACTAAGTACAAAAGCTAGAAAATGTGCTAGATCATAGAGAAAAATAGGCTCTGATATGCAATTCAATCTCAAAGGCTCTAAATGCTGTAAAATGTTTTTATATTCCAAGTGCACCAGTTTCCTTAACAAGACTGTAAGTAGTGTACAAGACTGTAAGTAGTGTGCTGTGAGGCATAAAATCTGGACACTTTAAATAAAAATCTTAGGCCATGGGACCTTATCTGTTGAGGTTTAGTGCTTTGAAGGAAGGTTCAGCCAATTATTAGCTATTCTCAGGAATATGCTAACGATGCTAACAACTTGGACAGTATTTAGCATAAATAAAACTCATCTAATTTCTGAGCACAGACCAAAAAGGTAATGTGAAGATGTGCAAAGAAGAGGTGAAGAGAATGAAAGAATATTAATGTGGAGTGTTAATTTGTTTACTACGCCTCCCAATTTAGTTAAAGGCTGTAACCATGGCAACTAGGCCCAAATAAAGTAAAGACAATGACGGCCAGCTTTCTCCCTGTGATAAAGTTATAGTCATCTTTTTTTTACTACTGCATGAGGAGAGGAAAAAAAAATCAATGTTCATCTTATGCCAGGAACAGCTAAGGTACTTAAACATTTCAGTGGTTAGTTTAGAGCAGGGGTCCTCAAACTATGGCCCGCGGGCCACATGCGGCCCGCCGAAAACATTTATCTGGCCCGCTGGGTGTTTTTGCCACTCCTGTGTGCATAGGAATTTGTTCATAGTTTTTTTTTAATCTATAGTCCGGCCCTCCAATGGTCTGAGGGACAGTGAACTGGCCCCCTGTTTAAAAAGTTTGAGGATCCCTAGATTAGAGTCTGCAATATCTGTGAAATAAATTTAAATGAAACCTTAGTGAAGTGACTTCCATACATTAATTTGCATGTTACAACACACACACAGCACAAATCACAACAGAAATTTTGATCAATAAAACGATTTCTCCAGTAAAAATATTTTCAGTACATAATGGTGATATGTACTATAGAGTTTCAGTGGAACGAAGTTAGCAGCTACATCTACAGTCTCGTGGTAGTGAGACCAGTAACCACAGCTTTTGGCTGTTAATATCTTTATAAAATGGAAAGAAATCATTGAAAGTGTTGTTGACTCTCAAAAGAACAAGTTATTTTGAAGCAAAAACATTAGATACTAAGGAATGAATACAATTAGTTTTGTCTTGGGAATAAACAAAATAATAATAATAATAAAGAAAAGAACCTTTTACAAGTTACAGATTTGTATGTTCTGGTTGGATTTATGGCAAGAAGACAACTGCTCTTTTGAACATATTCATGATCCTGTTGACCCTGCTAGGGAAAAGGTCAGGACAAGCAGTGGACTGGCTGCACTTTCTCTTTTCATCTAAATGAATCTGCCAGGTAAGTGTTGAAAATCTCTGTGGGAGACTTTTCTAGAAGCAACTATAAAATAATATTTTGCCCCTGGATAATAAAATCAACAGGTAACTTACCAACATAGGCTCTTTTTGAGAGAACTCTATAGTTTTTAAAAGATAATGTTGCCCATTGTTGGAACATACCATTGGTTGGAACAGAATATTCAGTTACAGATTAAATCGATTTACCTGAAGAATGCAACCTTGTTATTTCTTTTGGACGTGGTCCTTCGGAGGACTTGCAAGTGACAGACTATCTGGCACAGGAACGTTGTCCTTGTTAGGTACCTGGAATATAGGGCTGCTTTTGATTTTGTGCCACCCCAAATGTATGAGCCCAACTAAAGGTACCATAACAATCAGAACTTTGTAGTCTCTCCAGAAGCTCTGAACGCTCATAGTACTTCAGCATCAGTGAACCTAAGGAACAAACAAAAACAATCCTTCAAATGACAGCTATAAACCACCACAAGCAGAATATTGCATTCTAATAAAAGCTGACAATTAAATGTTTTTCATTACAATATACTGTGATGTTAATTAACTTTTGAGATATGTTATAAACCTAAAAAGATAGCAGGGAATTAGGTTTGGGAAGCTTAAAAAGCATTACTAAACTTTTAGTCAACAACTGTAAAGGAGCATCATTACCTGTTGGAAAAGTTATATGAATCTTTTGAGTCATTCATGCATGGATTAATTTTCTTTATGTAATTTCCTTACGCATGCAAGAAAAGTTTAGATTCTGCATTCTGACAGGATGTAAGTGATGGTGTTTCAACTGAGACTGGGATAGTCATTCGTGGATTCCAATTGTAGCCAAAAATATTATGGCTTGCACTCTATGAATTAGGATGAATTAATACCATTTCCACATTTACATGCAGAACCACTGCATTTTAGATTGTTTACCTTCATTACTAATAACTCTACCCTACAGGGGTTACTGTTAACTTAGTTTACAGGAAGAAACTGAGGTTAGTAAATTGCTTGGAGTTACAAAGCTTGTTAGTATTTAAAACAGATTTTTTCCTGCCTTCCTTTGATTTGGAGCGTGGCGTGAGGCCCAGTAGTCTGTTTCTGATAACCTGTTGGGTTTGGGAACTTGAGTCTACTATACAACCTCGAAAGACTCCTTATACCGCTCTGTTTCAGAGACAGTCATTAGGCTTTAGCGATTAGCTTAGAAACTTGAGATGATGTGAAGGGACTCACTTTCTAGTTCTTTTCTAAGCACAGAACAATAAGGATTGCTTCATCATCTATGGGATATATCAAGAATTAGGTTCAATTGCATGTATATAAATTTCAGTATCATGAAATCTCTTATAGTACTTTTGTTTGAATGCCATTAGAAAAATGTCTGAACACAATTTTTACTTATTCCCTTTAGTCCAGATTATAAAATATAACACCAATGAGCTAAATATCTGAACTATCTTTGTGTTCTGTGCACATATATTAAAAATAAATAGAAAACTTAGGAGTTAATGTCTATGTACATATATTATTTCCACCATTAGAAACCATTTCTCCCCAAGGTCCAAATTCACATTTTATAAGGACTTTGTTGCTAAACTTAAACTATTAGATGGAGAAAACATGGCCTACTTTGTAACTGAAAGTATTGTGTGGCCTTTTCCTTTTCTAAAAATATATTTTTATTTATTTTGGGGAGAGAAAGAGAGAGAGAGAGAGAGAGAGAGAGAGAGAGAGAGAGAGAAGAGAGAGAATGATGAGAGAGAATTATTGATCAGCTGCCTCCTCCATGCTCCACACTGGGGATCATGCCCGGGGACCAGGAATTGAACTGTGACCTCCTGGTTCATAGGTTGACACTCAACCACTGAACCACATTGGCTGGATTATCCTTTTTCTTTTCTAAACTACTTTGGTATCCTCCACACTTTGTGTGACATTTAGAGACCATACCTTTTTTTAATATATTTTATTGATTTTTTACAGAGAGGAAGGGAGAGGGATAGAGAGCTAGAAACATCGATGTGAGAGAAACATCGATCAGCTGCCTCCTGCACACCCCTGACTGGGGATGTGCCCACAACCAAGGTACATGCCCTTGACCAGAATCAAACCTGGGACCCTGCAGTCCGCAGGCCAACGCTCTATCCACTGAGCCAAACCCGTCAGAGCTAGAGACCATACCTTTCGTTAACATGCTTATGTCCTATTTTTGGAGAAAGTCAATCATAGATAACTATGTCATGATTACATTTCATTGAAACTCACCATGTAAAAGCCTTTGGAGCTGTTTGAGGATAAATAATACAATTGGGGGAGGCACTGGTGATTTGCAATAATGAGGGGAGAAGTATTCTAAGGGTTACTTCCTAGAGGAAAGGAAGGGCAGACAGGTGCTGCACCAAAGTCAACTGGCTTATGTAGAATGACATGTGGCATTTTTGTCCTCAAAATACCTTGAATTAAAGATTTAGAAGAGATTGTCATTCTTATCTAGTCTCCTCAATACCTAAGGTGACTTTAACATGTCACTCTCAACATGACACTAGAGTCACAGTACTTGTAATAGATAGCATTTCTGCTATTCACCATTTACTTTTCCATGATCACTAACATACTATTTGTAAGCTTTATCTGGAATTATAAACTTTCAGGAAATAGCTTATAGAAAAGAGTGAGTTGGTTAAAAGGCTATAATAATAAAGTTGGGATAACTCAATAACTAAAATCCAGAACAAATTAAACAGCAATGTCTGGGAAAGTACTATTCTCTCCATGTAAATCCCAGTAATGTGATGTACTCTGAACCTTCCTGGAGAAGAGTCTCAAATTATTTTCCTGTGCTCAATGAATCTTTGGGTCATCCATGGGTTAAGGACAAAGGAGGCATTCCATTTTATTTATATTGTGTTTAAGAGTTTATTCTTCTTATTCATTAGAATAACTTAATGATCTATACCTCTTTTTTAGGATTTAAGTTTAGTAAAGCCTGGGCATCAGTACTTATTTTTGTTGAAAACTCATTATTTGCCAAATATCACTAAGGCCCAGTAACAGCACTTTCTGGTTAATAAATGATGGACTGATTTAATGATTAATTACTTAAATGCATACTCAACACCTACATGCCACTATTTCCTCAAACTCTCCATATCTCACATATTGACTTGGCTAATGGGGATGAGAGAGCTGGTAATTATTTTCTGACAATTATTCTGTTATTTTGAGTGTCTTGGAAAATGATTAGGATCAGGATGATAAGGTTTACTTTACAAAGTACTTTTAGGGTCTTCATACCAAAGCAGCCCATCTCCACCAAGCAAGATGGAACTAGCACTCTTAAATAAGACAGTAGCCTTAATTTATTTTCTTCACTTAATAGCTTTCCAGTACATTACATGTATTCTATTGCTTAAATAACCAACTTCCCAGGGCTGGACACAATAGACTTGACTAAATAAGGTACTGTTAGCTTTAAGAAAAAGACAATAAAGGTTTGAAATCTGACATTTAATGCAGTCAGTGAGATAATATGCTCCTTGTTTTAGTCATATCCTCTTACGGAGCTTTTAAGTACATTTTGGGGATACAATTTTGATTTAACTCCTTTTTACTTTTAAATTCTTCTGTGAGATTTTTCAAAATGAACATTAGCATCACTGCCCCTTTCTAATGAATATAATACAGACTTACTTTTTAAAGTTAGAAAATATAGGAATAGGAAAAGAAAGCTAAACACATCTATAATCTTTTTGGTTTTAACAAAAATATATTATACACGCTGTTTTGTAATTTTTTCTACCCCCAAAAACATAAATCTTCATTATGATTTTTAACAGCTGTAAGCTTTTGATTGTATGGAGATATCCTAATTTGACAGGTCACTGATTGATAGACATTTGAGATTTTTTTCAATGTTTTAGTGCTAAATATGTTATGGCAGTAATTATTCGTGTAAGTACTCTGGAGCCCAGGGTCACAGACTCTATAAGTTGCTTCTCAGGATAATATAAGAACCAACTAGATTTTTTAACAACTCATTTTTCAAATAAACTTACAATTTATTTTTAAAATTCTGACTTTTGCAAAGTTTTATGGTGCAGAGCATCAAAGAAACTGGAAAATCCAATGTGGGAATGGAAAATTAGACTAAGGTATCCCCCCTCCCCCCAAAATGTATATACACTTTAGTAGCTGGTAGCTCAATTTTGAAAATGAAATGTATTTTAATAAACACTGCCTTAATAATTATTCAAAGTGTGTGTACACATTTTTTGGGGACACCCTATAAAATTTATCTTGAGATTGTCTTTCCCTCAAAACACTTAGCAAGTCATTCCAAGTGATATGGAACTATTTTATGGGCACCAGAGATTCCTGAGTCTGAAACAAACATTTCTCAAGAATGTGCTCAATATGATCAGGTTTGATGAGCAATGACGGGTTAGTCCCTAATGTAAGTTAGTGCTTGTTGTTCATTCATTGAGCTTTTCTTGGAGTAAAGCAGCAACAGAATTGGCAGCAGGAAGATAATTTTTCCTTCTTACCCTCCTGTAGTGTATCTGCCACTCTCCTTTCCTTATCTTTCCTGAATCTTCTTTCAACACACTCCTAAACAAACAAATAAGAACAGAAGGTATGGGACTCTTTAAGAAAGATGGAGAGCACCAAAACAAATGAAATTAGGGAATTTTAGATAAGTAAAATAGAAAAATATTTATGGTTTTATACATTGAAATGCCCTTTGTTAAGTTTAGAAAATGTTAGAGGCAATCTTAACACAGATTATGCTTATACTCTTCTTTAAAAAAATATACCTTGCATTAAAGTTTTCAATATTTTTTATTTTGTTTTCCTAGCAATTATATGAAGACTACTTTATTTTTTTAAATATATTTTTATTGATTTTTTACAGAGAGGAAGGGAGAGAGATAGTCAGAAACATCGATGAGAGAGAAACATCGATCAGCCGCCTCCTGCACATACCCCACCGGGGATGTGCCCGCAACCCAGGTACATGCCCTTGACCGGAATCGAACCTGGGACCTTTCAGTCCGCAGGCCAACGCTCTATCCACTGAGCCAAACCGGTTTCGGCTGAAGACTACTTTAGAAATGAGGAAATACTAGATGATTGATTGCAAGATTAATGTCAGTTAATTGTGGCACTCGACTTAGATTTCAGAGTCCTAACGGTTTTAGCTGATATTCTATTAGGCAACTTTCAAAAGTTAAGAATCAGCGTCTCAGCTTTGGCAATAAGAGTCAATTAGAATTTCCAGTGCCTGATGATGGAGGAGAAGAAAATTCTAAGTGCATGGTGCTAACTTGTGTCACTGAGGTCTACTCTCCAGTGCATTGAGCCTGGCTTGTTCTTCTGACTCTTATGTCCCATATATGAGAGGTTAGCGGCAATCTCGTGCCACTTTGTCCAAAATGAGAGGGCAAGAGTCTATTATCCCCCAAACATACGCCTGGGACTTACTAATAGTTGCGATTGGCTGGACTAATTCAGTTCAGTTTTCTTTAGCTTAATTCTTAGTTCTGAATAGCACCAGATTAATGAACAGAATGGGGAGAAGCTTGTCATATCTCCTCATTAAAAATACTGTGATATGAACATATTAAAGGCCAAGAAAGGAAAACACTGAGACATATGCTTCTGACCACGAATACTCTCTAAAGCAGGGGTGGGCAAACTTTTTGACTCGAGGGCCACAGTGGGTTCTTAAACTGGACCGGAGGGCCGGAACAAAAGCATGGACGGAGTGTTTGTGTGAACTAATATAAATTCAAAGTAAACATCATTACATAAAAGGGTACGGTCTTTTTTTTTTTTTTTTTTAGTTTTATTCATTTCAAACGGGCCGGATCTGGCCCATGGGCTGTAGTTTGCCCACGGCTGCTCTAAAGGCATTACTGTGTCTACAATGGCAACTTTCCCGCATCCTAATTTGTATCACAGAGATTATTGTCTCCTCAATTTCTACCACTAAGGCCTCTGACAGGCTTTCTTCAACTTGTTACATTCCAAGCTAAATAAAGGTTGTTTTTTGTTGTTGTTGTTTGTTTGTTGGTGATAGCACTGCACAGTAAGGTGAAAGGAAAAAGGCAATTAAGCTTCCTAGAAATTCCTGAACAGCCTGGCCTTAACTATCAGATTACTCTTTCTATGTAGCATTATGTCAAGTAAAACCACCACGTGTTGCTATTAGCATTACTAAATTACGTTTACAACAACCTGGATGCAGGAAATACACTGTAAAAGGGTCCGTTTGCCTGCAAAAGGGTTTGCTGGGCGCCACCTGCTGGTCTTTTGGACACATTGTCAGATTCTGTTTTTATGTCTTCATTGCTGCTCTGCTTCAAGTACTTGAAAAAATAATTATTTTTAAAAACTTCCACCCAATGTACTTTAATCATGAAGAAAACACCAGACAGACTGTTAATTAACCCAGCTCCTGTGACTGTGATATCTGATGAGGTTTATTGAAATTGTATGTCTTTCTTTTACAACGACAATGTGTAAACACTTTAGGTATTTGTGAATTCTTCATTCCTGAATTTCAATCGATGATGCTAAAAATAGTTCTCTTTATCCTCAATTTTTTTGTGTGTATGTGTGTACACATTAGAAAGGACTGCATATTGTCTCATGTTTATTCAAATGACATGCTAGAAAACAAGTTTCCTTCCCCCCCTAACTACACATCACCAAAAATAACAGTTTTGCTGAACTTTTCTGGTCTTCTACAAACACACACACCAAAAACATTACTGTCAACTCCTGATGAACTAAATGGATCATACCTGAGTTCTAAAGTTTACATTCAGTAAAATCCAACCACTGCCCCCACCCCACCATTCATGGTCAACTTGACCTACACTCAGTAGCTGGGCTGTTGACAGCACAGCCTAGTCAGATGTGGGTCAGGAATAGTCACAGAGTACAGTATAGGTCAAAACAGTTATGCATAAGTATTTTATGGTCTCCACTACCCCCCTCCTCCATTACCGAGTAATCAATGTATTTAAAACAATATACTGATAGCATCATGAATTTTATATGGGAGCTTTACTAATAGTTGGCAATCCAAAATGTGAACAAAGAGCAAATGATTAGCAACTAATGAGGAAGAAAAAAAGTTTACTGGCAGCCCGTGGCTTATCAAAAAGGTTGAAGTGTGCTTTATAGAGTTTTTAGAGTTTATAAAGTTTATAGAGTTGCATGAGAATCTTTATATCCCTTCACTGTTTTTAAACGTAGCTGCTATTGGATGCTGGGGTTGGTGGGGGAAAAGAGAGTGGGTACCGTGCAGATTCCAGACTGTTCCAGATTAAATATGCAGCTGACTGGGCCCATAATGCTACAGCAGGGGCTCTATGTACCCCTGGCCAGCTCTGACTCTCTAAAGGGCTGACTTCTATATTCGTCATTTTTGAGATTTCTATTGTACTCTCCACCTTTGTTTCTGCAGATAACCAACCCATCAGCCACCAGAGGAGATTGTGGCTACTAGGCATCAGCACCCTCAACTTCATGTCCCCGCATGTAAAACCTATCCATCTCCGCTCTCATCTTAACTTCCTTCCTCGCTGTGTCAGAGGAAGAGCCTGTTACTCTACCTATGCTCCGATCAGCGCCACTTTCTACTCTGTCTACAGATTTTAACTCCTCCATCCTCTCTCGTGGCCCTCACCTCCCACTGGTAATGGACCTTCCTCCTCTGCAAAACCTGACCATTTTTCTCCACTGAAAAGAACCAAGCACAAATTCCCTAAAGCAGCTGCCTTTTATCAGTCTCCCTTCCAGCTATTACAGACTCTGATTCCTTTGAAATAATGCATCTTTTCCCAGAGTTACTTCCTACGTCTATCTTCAAACCCAAGTTATCTGCTTTCATTTCATTCTCCATGGAAATTACTGACTGTAAAGATCACCAATCTCTCGCCTTATTTGATCTAAGCATTTTGATGTGTTCTCAAAACCCTTTAAGTACTTGAGAGTCTTCTATTCTGTTTCAGTCTCCTTTAATGGCCCCTTGGTTTCCATCTACTTATTCACCCTTATTAAAGATCCGTCCTTGGTATCTTGTCCCTGTGTTCTGGTTTCCTGGGTAGTCTCATTCACACCCAAAGCTTCCACTATAACACATCCACTAATGACTCCTGCATCTTCAGCTCCAGCTTATAGATTCTCATCTCCAACTGCTACTGTTCACCTTTACCTAACTGTGCCAACAGTCTAAACTCATCTTATGTAAAAATGAATCTCTTGCCCTGACTGGTTTGGCTCAGTGGATAGAGCGTCGGCCTGTGGACTGAAGGGTCCTGGGTTTGATCCTGGTCAGGGGCATGTGCCTTGGATGCAGGTGCGTCCCCAGTGGAGGCAGGAGGCAGCTGGTCGATGTTTCTCTCTCATCGATGTTTCTAGCTCTCTATCCCTTTCCCTTCCTCTCTGTGAAAAACCAATAGAATATATTAAAAAAAAAAAAAAAAAAAAAAGAATCTCTTTTCTTTCCAAACTGCTGTTTAATCTGCATTTTCTGTTTTTTTTTGTTTGTTTGTTTTGTTTTTGTTTTGTGTGTGTGTGTGTGTGTGTGTGTGTGTGTGTGTGTGTGTGTGTGGTTTTTTTTTAAGGCATTACCTACCAGGCCATTCAGTTCAGAAATCTGGATAAAGTGAACTCTACCCTCTTCCTTATACTGCTCATCCAGTCGGTCACACAGTCCTGTCACTTGACAGGGCATTTCTTTTATGTAATTTCTCCCCACAGCCACAGTCCTCATTAGCTCAGTCCCGTGGTTCTCAAAATGTGGTCCCCTCACCAGTAGCACTAGCATCAGCAGTAACTTAATTAGAAATACAAATTCTTGGGCTGCCCCTGACCTACTGAATCAGGAACTGTAGGGTGGGGTCCAGTAATCTGTGTTTTAACCAATTCTCTAGGTAATTCTAAAGCTGAAGTTTGAGAACCATTGCTTTAGTCTACTCCCCACGAAGCCACTCTCCACACTATTAACATGGCTATCTTGCAAAAAAAAAAAAAAAAAAAACACCAAACAAATGTGATTGTGTTTCTGCTTTGCTTAAAGGTCCTCAGTGACATTTCTGACTAGAAAGTGTACTCTAAATTTCTTAGTACAGCATAAAACACCCATCAGGATCTAGTTCCTGCATACCAGCATCAGAAGGTAAGGCACAACCAAACATTTTATTAAGAATGCATTGTACTGCCCAGGCCGGTTTGGCTCAGTGGACAGAGTGTCGGCCTGAGGACTGAAGGGTCCGGTTCAATACCAGTCAAGGGCACATGCCCAGGTTGCGGGCTTGGTCCCAGTGGAGGTTATGTGGGAGGCAGCCGATCAGTGATTCTCTCTCTCATTGATGTTTCTCTCTCCCCCTCTCCCTTCCTCTCTGAAATCAATAAAAACATATTTAAAAAATAAGCTCCGAGGATCAGAAGATTAAAAAAAAGAAAAGAACGCCTTGTCCTGTAGTGGTTAAAAGGAGCTGTGGAATCCTGCTGCCCGGGCTTTCAACCTCTACTTTACCACTCTACACCTGGCTGGGTGACCGTGGATGAGCCCACTTAACCTCACGATGCCTCAGTCCCATCATCTGTAAAATGAGAACAATGATTTCCTAATCATGAGGTTGTTGTGCAGTTAGCACAATATGTGGCACTTAGTCTGAACTCAGTGATTGTTATCTATTATTATTTTAATTATTTAAAAAATATTACTGGGGTGAACCAGGAGTGTAGCAACAACAGGAGAGGACTGAAATGGCTAAGGGAAGTGGTCCCCATGAAGGAGGTCCACTTCTCTGCCCAGTTTCACTGAGTCTAGATGTCAATAAAAATACCCAGACTCTCAAGAGAGAGGTTCCGAGGTCTTTGAGGCTCTTTTGATTAGAGTGAGGTGGATCTATAACAGCCGTGGGCAAACTACGGCCCGTTTGAAATGAATAAAACTAAAAAAAAAAAGACCGTACCCTTTTATGTAATGACGTTTACTTTGAATTTATATTAGTTCACACAAACACTCCATCCATGCTTTTGTTCCGGCCCTCCCGTCCAGTTTAAGAACCCATTGTGGCCCTCGAGTCAAAAAGTTTGCCCACCCCTGATCTATAATCAGACTCCACAGTGTTATAGGAAAGAAAAGACACACATGCTTCTAAAGTGAGCCAGGAAAGCTAATTGTGAAGGAAAAAGGAAAACTCAAGGACACAGCAAAGATGGTGAATAATTTCATATTTGTTTCTCTGATAAACCCTGATAAAGTTAAAGCTGCCTACTGATTAAATATGAGAGTTCTGGTGCGATGAAGCTTTGAGTAATGATGGGAATCAGGTTCCAATCTCCATCACAAATTAGTTATGATCTTGGGCAAATAACTTCTTTACTGCCTCAATTTTATAATCTGTAATAGAGGGCTACACAATGAAGACTACTACATATATACTTGTGTATTTATTGGTACTGTGTCTATTACGTGTGACGTATTAAATACATGGCAGCTATTACTATTATTGGAAGTATATTTGTGCTGTATAGAAAAAAAAATACTATGTAGATTAAAAGTCTTTACCAAAGTGACTAACTTTTGAAAACTCTACTTCTCATCTTCTCTATCTTCCTCTGAATTAGTCCCAATCCATTTTACCTACTCCATCTTTAGGTACAGCAGGGAGTCAGTATCTGTAAAAAGTGGTAACTGCCACCCACTATAACAGAAGGTAGCAGTCACTTGTTGTTTCTCTGCTATATTCTCAGTGCAGAGCGGGAAGTCGAGTCTTGTTCCCTTTATTCTACACAAGGTGGCTCATTCTCGTGCTTCAGCTGTTAGTTCAGATGTTACCTACTCAGCCCTGGACAGTTTGGTTCAGGAGTTAGAGCACTGGCCCACAGACCAAAGGGTCACAGGTTCAATTCCTGGTCAAGGGCATGTACTCCAACCCTGGTAGGAACATGTGTGGGAGGCAATCAATCTGTGTTTCTCTCTCTCCCTCCCTCCCCCTCCCCTTCCTCCTCCCCCCCTTCCACTCTCTCTAGAAATCAATGAAAAAAATATGCTTGGTTGAGGATTTTAAAAAAAAAAGGAGAGATCCCAGATGTAACCTACTCAGAGAACCTTTCTCTGGGCTCCTCTAAAAATTTTCCCTCCCCCACCCCATACTCTCAAGCACATCTCATTGTTACCTTCAAAGCCCTGCCTTCCGGTGAATGCTATGTGCCACCCTGATCGCCCTTAGGAAAGGCACTTCCCCAGCTCCTTGGAGTGCTCAGTGGTCAGTCCTCCTCCAGGACTGACTAGGCTAAAGAGACCTGAAGCTATGCCCCCTTCCCAGGCCAATGGCTATCCAACCAACGCAGGGGTAGAAAGCCTTGGCCCAGCGGTTCTCAACCTGTGGGTCGCGACCCCTTTGGGGGTCGAACGACCCTTTCGCAGGGGTTGCCTAAGACCATCGGAAAACACATATATAATTACATATTGTTTTTGTGATTAATCACTATGCTTTAATTATGTTCAATTTGTAACAATGAAATTGGGGGTCACCACAACATGAGGAACTGTATTAAAGGGTCGCGGCATTAGGAAGGTTGAGAACCACTGCTTTAGCCCTTCCCTCCAACCTGGGACAACTCTGAAGGCCCAACTCAGCACCAGTGCTCCTGAGACAGGCCTTCCTGGGGACCGCACTGCAGCTCACCTTTCCCATCCACCCCATCCTGCTCGCTTTCTTCCTAGTGATCCAAAAGCCCTTCCTAAGAAACGTCCTGCCCTCAAGTCTCCGGAGAGCCTGCTTCCTAGTAACCCAGTGGTTCTCAACCTTCTGGCCCTTTAAATACAGTTCCTCATGTTGTGACCCAACCATAAAATTATTTTCGTTGCTACTTCATAACTGTAATGAATCGTAATGTAAATATCTGATATGCAGGATGGTCTTAGGCGACCCCTGTGAAAGGGTCGTTCGACCACCAAGGGGCTCGTGATAACCCAACCTGGGAGAACCTGGAAATATCACCTTCACTTATCAATGGGCTTGTTTATGTTATGGTTTCTTTTCCCATGGCTAGAATATAAGCTCCACGTGGTCAGGGACCATGCTTGTTTTTGTCACTGCTGTACCTGCTATATATATACACACACATATACATACATATATATATGTGGTAAGTATATGTAAATTATATAGTGTACATATATATTACACAATCTATATATACAGGGTGTCCCCCAAAAATGTATATACACTTTAACAGTGATAGTTCAACTCTGAAAGTGAAATGCATTTTTTTTAAAAAATTTATTTCTTTATTGATTTCAGAGAGGAAGGGAGGAGAGAGAGAAACATCAATGATGAGAATCACTGATCGGCTGCCTCCTGCACGCCCCCTACTGGAGATCAAGCCCACAACCCAGGCATGTGCCCTTGGCAGGATTCGAACCTGGGACCCTTCAGCCCGCAGGCCGATGCTCTCTCTATCCATTGAGCCAAGCCGGCTAGGGCGTGAAATGCATTTTAATAAACACTGCCTTTATCATTACTCAAAGTGTGTGTATAATTTTGGGGGGCACCCTGTCTTACAGATAAACGGCCGATGTTAATGAATGAATGGAACTGCCCCGTATTGCGAGCCTCTGGAAGCAGTCACAGGATTCCGGGCGCGGTCCCCCGGGAGGGAGAGGAGCCCGACCTCGGGCGGCCTTCCCATCCCCGAAACCTCAGAGCGCCGTGAGCCCTGCTGCTGCTCGCACACGGTGGCCCCACCGCGCTCGCTGCGCACGGCTCTGATGTCCACGTCCACCTCCCGGATGGGCACCGGCACACGGCGCCGTCCCAGCGACAGAGGAGGGGCCGCCGGGTCCCAGGGTCCGGCGAGCAGGTGGCGGCGCAGGTGCGATGGGTGTTCCCACCCGAACGCCTTCTCCGTGGAGCTCACGGCGCGGCCATGCAGATGGGAGGCCGAGGCGGCTCTACACCCGGCCCTCTCCCAGGACACGGGACGCGCCTCCCGCCCACATCCCTGCCCCCGACGAGTATTACATGTACTGCCTCTCGCCTTTTTAAAGGTGGGTCTGGAGCTTCCCGAGGAGTCGGCTCCCTCTTTATCCCCGCCCCCAAATACCCTTCCGGGAGGTCACCGGTGACCTTTCGGAGAGCCGGGGGGAGGCACCTAGCAGCCACCCGCCCCTCTCTTCCGCCGGGTAGAAAGCTGGCTTTTCCACCTGAGATTCCAGCGCGGCTCTCACCTGCCCAGCAGCCGCCGAACCTCGCTAGGCCGCCGCCACCAGCGGGCCCCAGAGGCCGGGCCTCACACGGAAGCAGCCACCGGTCCAAGCCACTCGCGCCGGGAGACGGAGCATGCGCAGCTCTGCGACTACCCCGGGCCCGCCTCGGATTCCTCTCTCCGGGTTTTAGTGAAGTTCTCAGCCAAGAAAGCCGTGGCCTTGGCCGGAAAGAATGAGGGGCGGGTTTATTAGCTTCACTCTCAAGGGGCGGGGCTTATTCAGCATCAATCTCAGCAAGTTGGTGAAATTGAAAAATTTAAATATCGCATCAAATTGGCGCAGTACCTTCTTTATGGCGTGTGGTTAAGAGGCACTTACTGAATGAATAAACAAAGTAGCTAACGGTTCTCTGTTTCCAGGGCTCCTTGATTTGACCAATCACGAAGCTTCAGATTCTGTCGTTCAGAGCCAATTGCCCGCCTTCTTGTACGGCTGCCTTGAAAACCAGGAGAAAAGGACCGAACCATTTCTGTGGATTGGGTGGGAAAGCGGGCATGCGCACTGCAGCCGGTTCTACCCTCATCCCTTCCTATGGGGGCTTTAGAGACGTTGCGGGTGTTGCTTTTCAGTTTACCAAAACTTTTACCTCTCTACCATCCTAAGGAAATTATGTTTGTGGTTATTTTAAAGTGTATCCCGCATTGTAAAAGCCACCTTTGCTTTCAAACCTGTCTTCTCTATAATCTTCCCCAATCGAAGATTTCGAAGAATCTTTCCATCCTTGAGCGTCCGGGGCCGGGAAACACTCTACCATTGAAATGTCCCCCCCTTTTTCCCCCCGCCCAATCACTTCCGCTATCAAGCGCTGTAGGTAACCGTGATTCATCACCTGCCAATCATTCACTTCGTTCACAGGCTCTAAATAGCCCGCCTTTGCCGCCGTTTTTGTTTTGGTCTGGGCTTGAAAGCCGCGAGATCGTGAGCGGAGGCCATGTTTCTTTTGGGCAGATTCCTCGCGATACCCAGGCTCATCGACCAGTGCCTCGCCGCCATCTTAAGTCCTGGCTATGGCTTCAAGCCCACCGCGCGGCTGCGCAGACCGTGTTTGTAGGGGCGGCGGCAGCGTTCCCTGTCGCGTGGGGAGACCCTGGGAGTAGAGTTTCCCGAAGCGGGAGTCTCCAGAGCTTCTGCAGGTTGATTCAGGGCCCGCTGCCTCTTTTTTCTTTTTCTTTTTTTTTTTGCCCGCGGCCTCTGTAGTGTGAGTTCCCCAAACCAGATCCTCCTTCACGAGTGACCCTGGACAGTAACCAAACCAATAAAAGCCCGAACCCACACCCTGCCACCATCATAGGTAAGAACCTGGAACTCCCGACAACCTGAGATGTTACGTCACTTGAACTGTTTGTCCCTTTCTTCCCATTTTTTTCTTCTTTCTGAATCCTTCTCCCTGTGCTTCCACCTCTCTTTATTGTGTTCAAAGAGCTAAAAAGATGTTAAACATAAGGGTGCGTGCGGGAAGCCTGGACTTTAAAATTGGAAGTATTAGTCTGGAATTTTTTTTTTTTAGGACAAAATGGACTATAATAAGTGGGTCAGTTATTTGTGGCAAATATCTATATGTGCAAATATAGTCCCCTTCCCAAACGTTTTTGGGTTGTGACATAAATACAGGTTGTACATACTCATTCATTCATTCATTCATTCATTTAATACATTTGTTGAGTACCGTAAGAGTGCTGTAGTAAGCTAAAAATAACATTTTCTTTCATGGCGTTTACATTCCGTCAAACTTGACCGCTACTGGGTTGGGGCAAGAAATAGTACAGCTATAACCTAGGGCAGTGGTTCCCAACCTTGGCTGCACATTAGAATCACCTGGGAATCTTTTTAAAATCCTGATTTCTGGGCCTCATCCTCCAGAAATTCTGTTTCTTTGTTATGGAGTGGGGCCACAACATTAGTAACAAAGAAACAGAATTTCTGGAGGACGAGGCCCAGAAATCAGGATTTTAAAAAGATTCCCAGGTGATTCTAATGTGCAGCCAAGGTTGAGAACCACTGACCTAGGAGATACTGTGTTTGACTCCAGACCACCTTAATGGAGCAAGCCGTAATCATTTTGCAGGTGGAAGGTCTTGCCTTGCATTTGTAAAACGCGCAACACCTGTGAGGTGCAAGGACCTGAGGTGTGCCTGTAGACCGCCCTTCCTCACACTGCCAGACCAGACAAGTGTTTCAGTAGTCACCTGCTCCTCCTATCCAACCCCCTCGCCACTCCCCTCCCACCTTTTCTAGGAATAAATTGTATTGACACGTATTTCCTGGAACCCAGTCATAACCATGTTGTAGACCCATTGGTTGATTTTACAACCAATAATCAAGTTGCTGCTCAAAATGTGGTCTACTTACCAGCAGCATCGCTGTCACTTGGGTGCTTGTTAGAAAGGTAGTCTTAGGCCTCATCCGAAGACCCGCTGAGTCAGAATCGTCCCTAAAAAGTGCATCCTAAGGAGCAAGGAGCACTCATTCAGGACGTGGACTAAGACAGAGATAGTCTCTTTCCAGTCTGTGCTGCTTAAACAGTTCACAATATATTGTCAGTTTACTACATGTTTTAAATGCATTAGATACATGGCACAGTTTTCAGTGCTTGTAGCTCATCAACTTGATGTCAAGATACCAATTTAGCCCACGGGCATGGCTCCGTAGTTGAGTGGTTAAGTAGTTGAGTGTGGATCTATGTGCCAGGAGGTCATGGTTAGATTCCCAGTCAGGGTATATACCTGGGTTGCAGGCTCAGTCCTCAGTAGGGGGCTTGCTGGAGGGAGCCAGTCAACGATTCTCTCTCATCATTGATGTTTCTTTCTCTCTTCCTCTCTGAAATCAATTAAAAAAATATTGATAAATATATATATATTTAAAATATAGTCCAATTTAGCATTCTACAAAGTTGAAGAGAATTTGTCAGTCTGGTATGTTGTGATGTAAATTCTGTTCTGACCAAAACCTATGTGCATATTTTTACTTTTAATTTATTAAATGTTGGCCTGCATGTATTCAGCAGTTAAATATTGATTTGAAAAACTTTGGGCCATGGTTTATCAAAATTTTTTTTTTGGCACCTTGCTTTCTTCTGCCTTGCTTTAATGAGAAGTCTAAATCTGATTTATCTCAGGAGTTTAATGTTGCTACTCATGAAAATTACCTGGGGAGTTTTGTAGTTTGTTTTTTTTAAAGATTCCAACCCAATGTCAGCAGAGATTGAGACCTGTGGATGGAATTAAGGAACCAGTAAGGTATTATAGCAGCGGTTCTCAACCTGTGGGTCGAGACCCCTTTGGCGGTCGAACGACCCTTTCATAGGGGTCGCCTAAGACCATCTTGCATATCAGATATTTACATTACGATTCATAACAGTAGCAACATTACAGTTATGAAGTAGCAACAAAAATAATTTTATGGTTGGGTCACAACATGAGGAACTGTATTTAAAGGGCCAGAAGGTTGAGAACCACTGTATTAGAGAAACTGCAAATGACTTTTACATTTTCCACATTGTTGTATGTTAGATTTTTATCTCCCTTACATGATTTTACTTTAATTAGGAATGTGAAGGCAGTTAAGATAATCGGACTGGGAATGTGGTGAATCACCTTCTCAGTAATCAGTCAACTTGCATTTATTTATTCTATGTCCTAAGCAAGTTGTCCAGCCTTTCTGTCTCTTCTTCCTCCATCTATTCATTGGGGAAAGCAGAATGAAGACCCTGTTGTTTTTTATTTAGACACATGTGAATGTTGCAAAATGTACTGAATACTTATATCCTGGGAATATAGGGAAGAACAGTATTTCATAAGTGCAATATTCATTGCTTCTGATTTTCACATAAAAGCATACCTGGTTTTATTGAAGTTCACTTTATTGCATTTCACAGATCTTGGGTTTTTTACAAATGGAAGGTAATACCCTCCACCAGTAAAAAGATTACAACTTGCTTTATTGTAATTCGTGCTTTCTTATGGTGGTCTGGAACTTAACCGATGTTATCTCCGAGGTATACTTGTACCAGGCCAGGAAGATGTATTTTTTTAATGGTTTTCTTTTTAAACAATTTTATTGAGCTATAATTGTACAATTTTATGTGTTTTACATGTATATACCAGTGAAACCATCAGCACAATCAAAATAATATATCTGTCACCCACAAAAGTTTCCTCTTGTCCACTGTAATCCCTTAGGCCCCTATCATTCATTAATTCATTCGTTCATTCATTCATTCATTCATTCATTTATCTGGCTGCTGTCTTTCAGGCAACCACTAATTTGCTTTCTGTCACTAGATAAGTTTGCATTTCCTAGCATTTTATCTAAATGGAATCTTACTGTAGGAGCTGTTTTTTGGGGTGGTTGGGTGTTGGAGGAGATTCTCTCACTCATAATTGAGAGCCATCTTTGTTTTTGTAAGTATCCTTTGTAATTACTGGGCAGTATTTCATTGCCTGGATATACAGTAATTTGTTTATACCTTCACCAGTTAAGTGGCTACTCTTGGGTTGTTTTTATTTTCATAGTGTTATTTTCACATTGCCTTGTTCTTCTCCAGTTTATTTGAATTGGAAAAAAAAGTAATTATTTGGTGGCCAAATCTTCTACCTACAATGTAACCAGGAGGTGATAGGAATAAAATGTGTTTGTATTGGGACTTTACCTTTGCGCAATATATGAATTGTTTCTGAGTGAAAGATGTTATGGCCTTTTTGAAAAGGTGAAATGTATGCATTGACGTTTTAGTGGGCTGTCTCTCTTGTTGTGTACATGTCTAGCCATTTTAAGCTTTATTAAATCTTTAAAGTTTACTATTTATATATTACTATTTAGGGATTGATAATAATAACTCATGCACCTTAAGTAACCTACTCATTAAGCAGCAAAATAGAGATCTATGAAGTTAAGCCTAATGTTATAAAACTCCCTTTTGTCAGTAAATGGAGAGTACCACTTATATCTAACGTTGATTGATGTTGTACATTTTCAAAGTCTTTTTGCTTCTATTGTAGCAAAGCAGTGCCTTGTGTTTATTATGGTATTGACATTTTGTGCTTGAATAAATCACAGCTGGTCACTAAAATTGGATAGGCTTATGTTAGTTACAGGATAATATATAGAATATTGCAGTTACAGTATATTTTGGGCACCTAAAAGTTCAATTGTGTTATTATTTTGGTTTAATATACAGTTAGAAAAGATTGGGATTTTTTGTTTTGCAATTTTAAAAAAAATCTTAATTTACATGTGATAGAATTTACTCTTTTATGTATAAATTTCATGAGTTTTGACCAATGCATTGATTGTTATAAACACCATCTCAATCAGAATGCAGAACAGTGCCATCAAACCCCCCACCCCGCCCTCCAATTTCCACTACCCTTTGTAGTGACCCTCCACCACTCCACCACAGTAATCAATGATCTGTTCTCCGTCTCTAGAGTTTTTTCATTGAAAGGATTAGATTTTAAGACAGTTGCATTAATGATTATCAGAAGACAGTTGCATTAATGATTATTTTTCCTGTGGTGAAGTGACTGGAAAACAGTTATCAGAGTGGGGCTTAGGTTGATTATGTGCTGTCTTCTTGTGCTCTCAGTGTTTATGATTACAAGAGGCCCGGCACATGAAATCTGTGCATGGGTAGGGTCCCTAGGCCTGGCCAGTGATCAGGGCCAATCAGGGCTTTCCTTCCCCCAGCTGCCAACTGCCGGCCAGGGCCTTCCTTTGCTCTGCACCGCCCCCTGGTGGTCATAGGGAGCGGTTGAACTCCTGGTCGGCCAAACTCCTGAGGGGACAATTTGCATATTAGCCTTTTATTATATAGGCTGGTTAACAGAGACTGAGCACTCACTGTGCCCAGGCACTGGGCCAAATATTGCATATCTGATCTTGCATAATCCTCACAGGACCCTTGAGATAAAAAACTACACAGAGACTTAGAGGAGTTGAATAGCCTGTCAGAGGTCACATGAAAGGGCAGAATTTGAACACATGTCTATTTTACTAGAATTTGAGGACTTTACTGCCCCACGTGGTGGTTCCTATGTCTGTTTCTGACAAATATTAAAAAGTAGACATTGTCTATTATGAAGCATCCTATACAGTTCTGGGTGGGGATTTTCTGTGGGTACATCAGGAAGGGGAAGCCCAGATCATGGGTCAACTGACTGGGTTAAGGGTATAGAGTGACTGTTCTGTGAAGTTAATCATGATAGAGGATTTCAATATTTGACCAACATTTAAAGACAAAAGAAAAAAAACACCTTTTTTTTTTTTCTTTTTTTTCCCATTTTGCGTTATCCT